CATAATAGAAAGTTTGAAGAAGGATGTAATCTTAGAGAATCTTTAAAACTTTCTCCCTTTTTTGCTAATCCACTCGACTTCATCAGTGGGTTCTTCACTGTCACTCTAAGAAGATACTTACAATATTATAATAAATATGATCATTCCTTTCAGATGCTACGGAACACTGATCAGCTCGACGCAAAATAAGGCATTTAACTTATCCTACAGAGCCGCCTTAGCCATAGTTGTTACTTATTTACAATCACACAGGAGGCACGTGTGAATTAAGGACGCGATAACATTGCCCTACAGGTAACACTCAAGAGACTTGAAAAACGTTTTGTCAAAAAACCTGTAAGGACGCTGTGGCAAACTTCACACTGCAAACAAGCCACAATTACATGGCACATCATCTTAATAAAATAGGCATCCTTCTACCAATTATATGCCAAATTTGTAATTCGGGCATCATGAATGCAAAGCACCTTCTTATATGCTCACAACTAGATAAAGAGTCTCAGAAACGTGATGAGATAAAAGCAAGTTATACTGGAATGCCAGAACTTTCATGAACTCCTTGTAAAAGACTACATCTTTTATGTTCCTTTCTTTGTTGTTAAAATTTTAACTTTTTACCTTTTGTTCCCATGTTAATTTGATTTGGTTCTAACTTTAAATGTTTGTTCCTTCTTATTATATGTCACTGTATACTTGTGTGATACTTGAATTGTTTTATAAGTTTGGATTGATCCTTCCAATAAAGCTATGTGTAATAACAGCAGCAACAACTTATACTACAGAAAAATTCAACGGATATTAAAGCATGACATTAAAGGAGCTGCTCAAGCGTCCCTCAGGTAATTTACTCAAAATTCTGAAAATTGGTGACCGAAAGCTTTCGTACAAGGCTAGCATAATATTATCCTTTTAATACTAGGAGATATACTATATGTTCTTCAGATAAATGATGTTTTCCAAGAGACTTGTAATGTAAAGTCGTATTTGCAGTCTGAAGAGGTCTGTTAAAACGAAGATTTTTGAGGCATATTTATATTGCTCATGGTCTTTCTGTTAACTCTTTCGCATCGAAGTCGCCCGTAGCGCCCGTTCATTCAGGCAACGGCAAACCGCCCCAACGCCTCGTTTATTTTCTATTTAGTTCTTTCCCCTCCACGTTAGTGTATGGCTCATTGGTTTCGCGAGTTGTTAAAAGACATGTCAATCATTCTTTTGAAGCAAATAAAGGAGAAATACGGAAAGCTATTGACGTTCGCAGGTGCAATCCGGCCCTAAGGTGAAACTGCACACAATGGATCTACCAGGCAGGGGGAAAGGAAAACTATTCCAAGAAAAATTCGTAAACACGGGCGTTTTCGATGTTTGTTGAAAACAGATTTGGTCGTCTCTCGATGCGAAAGAGTTAAGCGCTTACCAATATCCTAATGTACTCTATTGAAAACATTTTTCGTACTTTTTGTACCATCATCATTATTTTCGTTAAAAATGGCGTTTTATTCAACATACTCAGTAAAATTCCTCAGATAAAAAATGAAGTGGACCTTCTGATGGCAACCGCCTTTCGAGATGACCGCTTCTAAAAGCGACGAGTAGTTCTGAGAGCATAAATAAACAAAGATACTAATAATTATTTAAGAATATCGCACTCTTAACTAACTGAAAGCTACAAATACATTTTATTTGCAACCATCCCATCAAAAGGGTCATAATTTAGCTCTAGCCTAAAAGAATTAAGAAAGGTGTATCAAACGGAGCAAATTATTGCTTACGGAAACCAGTTTTGAGGCATTTCCGAAATAGGAACATTTTTCTCACCTCAGATAAATATGAATTATGAGCTTGTTTGTGATACAGCAAATTTTACATGATGCATTACATTCCTAAACTCTTCATAACTAATTTCATTTCCCATCTGCGCATACTGATATGACAGACTAGTTATAGTAGATTTTGTCATTAACTCTGTCGTTAATAAAAGATTGTGATTTCATGAATATTTAAATCGCTGATAATTTAGTTTTTTGTTATCGCCTAATATAATCGCAGATTTGATGTCGTGGGTCAGTGCTTTGGTATAGGGAGAAAACGATGCAAAGTAAGTGCACAATGCAACAGAGATGTTTCGAAAATGTCAACAAGATAAAGCTGAAAGTGGAGTGATAAGCAGAAATAACGAAGAAATCGAAAATCCCTGGATCACAGTACTAATTTTTTGCAGGCTTTAAATTCTATTAAACAAAGTAAAATAATTATGTCTTAGTATAAGAAATAATAAGATTGTTGATTTATTTTTGAACGTCAGCCTGTTTTAGGAAAACGAAATTAAAAGGGCGTATTTTTGAAATTACGAAATAAGGTTTACATTTCTTTTTTCAGGTTTTCTTAGAAATGCTGATTTACACACAAGATCGGCTTTCTACATTTTAAAATATTTCTTTACAGTATTTGAAGGCATTAAGTCATTTCCTAAAATTTTGTTTTGTTTTGTTCCTTCTTTGTGTTTAATTGCATATTTTTTTAACATATTATTAATTAATTTAGAAGTCAAACAACAAAAACTCTTTGTTCGGCGTGTTATTTTTACCTAAATTACACTGGTGTGCAAAAATTAAGGACGAAGTCGATAAATTAGCATATCAGCTGAACGAAGAGGCAGAGCGGACAGAAAGACCAATCAGGAGATTAAGTAAGGTGATGTACGGTAGCACATGCTCAGATATGCAGGTAGACGTAATGGGGGAGTGTCTGAGTAGTATAAAGCATGTTGTCGGTGTAAGATCATGCATGGGATTTTCTAGGTAGGCGCTTGGCAGCTCGTATCTTACCACCAGTAACGATTCCGGAGCTTCTAATGGCGCTGCAAGACGAATGGGCAGCAATGCCTCAACAACTCATTGACACCCTCATTTCTGGCAAAGAGATTGCACACCGTATAGCAGTTAAAATCACACCGAGTTGTTGCATCAGCGAGAAATGGCGAATAATCAATCTGTTAGACGACATCTGGATGCTTTTACCCGAGGTCGAATCATTGGGAAGTTGGAGGAAGGCCGCAGTGTGACAAGTGTGGCTGCAGAGTTCGGAATTGCTCACAGCATCGTTTCACGACTTTGGAGACGATTTCAAACTACAGGAACAACTATCCGGGGGTTAGTAGTGGTCGTCCACGAGGAACCACACCCGCAGATGACCGTTATATTGCCTTACAGGCCAGAAGAACAGGCGGGAGAAATCGCTAGACACACGACACAACTGGACGACAGATATCGCGTTTTCCGTGGCCAGAAGACTGCACGGTGGTGGTCTGTTTGCACGACGCCCTGTACGTGTGTACCTCTAACGCCTGCCCATCGGAGAAGGCATTCTCTGTGGTGCCGGAAACACCGGAATTGGAGAGACAATGAATGGGGACGAGTACTCTTTACAGATGAGAGCAGATTCAGTCTGAGTAGCGATTTCTCATCGCATACTCATCTGGAGAGAGCGGGGAAGCCGCAATATCCCTCGAACATCATTGAAAGGGACAGGTATGGAGGTGGCGGTTTGTTCTCGTTTGGGGAGGCATCATGCTTGGTAGTCGTACAGACCTTCACATCTTCGCGCAGTCAGTCAACGGGACCCGTTATTGTAACGAGATTCTTCTTCATATGTGCGTCTTTTTAGGGCGCTATGGGTCCGCAGTCCTTTTCATGGACGACAATGCACCATGTCATCGCACAGTAGCTGCCCGAACAGCTCTTAGAGAGTGAGGATATTGACGTATGGATTGGCCGGCCCGATCTCCGGATCTAATCCCATCGAGCTGTATGGGAGTTTTCTAGGCAGACGCTTGGCAGCTCGTACCTACCACCAGTAACGATTCCGGAGCTTCGATTGGCGCTGCAAGACGAATGGGCAGCAATGCCTCAACAACTCATGACACCCGCTATTCTCAGCATGGGCAGACGCTGTGAAACCTGCCTAGCAGTCGGGGGAGATCATATCCCCTATTAAAGACCGGATGTTCTTGCTGGACACCCTCACAGGGATGTTTCGGCCTTCATCGCATTGCGCTCCATGCTACGTTTGTTTCAATAAAGCTTCTTTTTCCCTCTGATTTCTCTTTAGTAATTGTTGCTTACAGTACTCATGTCTTACGTTATTGGGGATCTTACGGTATTAAATGTGTTGATTTGGAAAGCTTTTGTACAAAGTTATATTGAAAAAAACCGTCTCGTCTTTAATTTTTGCACACCAGTGTATAGTATTGGTTATAAGCCGGTTAACTATGCTTCTGCTTCAATATTTTCTTTAAGATTTTCGTTCAACAAAAGAAGTCCTTAATGCTAGTCGATAGTCGCTATCATCAATAATGAGTTTCTATAAGAAGGCTATCTCCACAGAAGACTGAATTTGCCTGAAATTATTGTTGGTCATTAGATAGAGGGTTCATTGTACCTTAGTTGAATTTCTCATATGTAGTTATATACGCAAATGCAATACGAGGCAAAGATTTCGTTTGCAAATTTCATGATTATTTGTATTTTTATTATATATAAAAGTGAACCTTTTTCCTGTTACTTTTATTTGCAATGTAGATAAGCGATAAGTGTCCGTGAACATTTAAAGCAATTTAGTCTAAGAAGTTAGACCAACGTAACAATTATAATTTTCATATCCATAAACATCTATTTTTATTACCGATATGAATCTAAGGAATTAAATTATGTTATTCTGTGAAAATATGATTCATTCAGGCATGAATTTTCTTAGAACTTAGAAATTCATTTTGATTAAAAAAACAGAAATTACTTAAATATTGGGTAATTTCATTGCATAGCAATTTAACTTAATTATATTTCTACATACAATGATTATGTTTTAATCTTTCAATTTGTGATAAATTCTCACAGATTTCGTTTTAATCTTAAATTCCTGCCCTTGATATATTGGCAACAATGTTCACGATATATGAGGACTTATATGACACTTATATGAGGACCTTAAATAAATGTACTCTATTTTTTATTGGAAATATCGTTTTTATTATCAGTGATCATGAAAGAGAAACTACAGTTTTATGAATCTGGAGCAAGTGAAAAATATTCCGACTCTTAAGCACTAGTTTTGACAAAGTGTGATATATATAACATGAAGGTTTGGCATTTATCCTTGCTTCTGTAAATGCGTCGTCACAGTCTTCGACTTCATTTAATTCTCCGTTTCCTGTAATTCATAAAGACATGCAATTACAGATGTGCTTATGCAAGATATATATATATATATACATGTTAAAAGAAAGTTAATCTATAAATTTTAAAAGGAACTGCATTTTAGGCATTCTTTGAAAATTTTTCGTTGTTAATTTATAAGTCAATATTAACTAAAGTTTATTATTCTGTGTTTAAAGAAAGTATTTTGCAATATGACTTAATCATGCTTAATCTGATTAGAATCTGATCTGACTTAATCTGATTTAGAAAGACTTAACTAAATGCTTACTGAAAATTTGAAATTGATGAGTTGATGTTATAATTTAGTTATGTCAGCAACTGCTTATGACGAAGATCCAATTCAGTCAATGTGAGCACAGCTACAAATGTCATTAAGGGATCTCTCGTACTCATTGTTATTGTTTTTATAAAAGAGAAACAGGATTAGGAGAAATTACAGGATAAATTTCAGGACTATGGAAAATGGGCCTTGTGGTCCAGGGTAGTGATCAGGGTAGTCCAAGTTCTGCTTATTACCTACATAAGTTTACGAAGAATCAAACTACTGCTATAGACAAATTTCACTTTGTTACACAACCTGAAATTATTTATAATTGAAAGACTGGAAATTTTATTCAAATGAGTAAATGTGCCTGGTGTAAATTATAGCAGAATTTCAATTACCTGTGCTGTAATTTACACCAGTGACATTAACGTAACTGGAGATGGAATAAGAACGAAAACTGGACATGGAACAAGTATAAACTATCAAAGATGACTTATGAAAGAAGACCTATTTAGTAAACAGTAACATTTTATTACAAAATGAACAAAATTCTAAAAATTGGCACTGAACTGTATTTTCTCATAACTAATAGCAATTTATTTCTGTAGTAATAATTGACAATTATCATTTTGAGAAAATGTAGTCATAGGCCTTCATTTGAATAGCAGTAACGGACAAAAAATAATATTTAATCATTTTCCCTAGATGATATTTTTGATTCACTCTCCTACTCTTTTCTGAGCTCAAGCAGATGATACACTAAGGAAAAGAAGAAATAAATTATACATGATTTTTCCTAACTATATAATAAATGGTGCAAATGTGGAATTCATGGGAAAAGAAATGTTTTCAATAACTCTATAAAAGACAACAATTCTTTCATTTTGTATGTTAAAGCAATAGTAAAACACAGTTCTTGATATTTGCTACAGAAAATGACAGCTGACTGAGAAGAAACCCTTTTCCTAGAGAACTATGGAGAAATAACTATTCTTTCAACTACACCTAATTTTAATTTTTAACTTATTTGTATAACAAATTTGCGTATGTTAGCCAAGCATTGTATTATAGTGAATGCTTAAATTTAGAAAATTTTGAGTTTTACGAAAAGGAAAGGAAACGTACTTGAAATCCTGTAGGCTCAAAGATATACAAGAATAATAATTAAATGGCTTAATGCGTACCATACTGATCGTTTTCCCTACAATATGATACCAAGCCACTTAATTATACCTCTTTTTATGTTTTAAAATGTTCGCCTTCTTTTAGCATAAGATTTAAGGAATAAGCGGCAAAGCATCTTAAACATATTTATTAATATTAGCTTAATCATACACTCACTTCCAAACGTTAAGCACGAAGATGTAAAATGAAAAAAAAAAAAAAAAAAATCAACAAATACTGCTTTCATTGACACAGAATTCGGCAGGAAAGTAGCACGCATATTTATGCATAAAACAAAATCAATAATTATATGCAGAAATGAAAACAATATCAAATTTTTGTAAGTTATCAGATAATGACATACTGGAGACATAAACAGAATTATGTATAAAGTGAAAATAAACAGCATAAAATGAAAAAAAGGACATTAATAGGGTATGTGATCCCCCCTCATCTGTATACAAAGTTTACACCTTGTGACCATGCTTTCAATTAGCTGGTCAATCACCGCAGAATTAAGCAGTCCCCATGCTTCTTGTAGAGCAGTTTCCAGCTGAATAACAGTAGCTGGAGGTGGGAAACGTGAAGATACAGCACGGCTGAGAGCATCCCAAAGATTTTCAATGAGATTAAGGTCGAGCGAATATGCTGGCCACGCCATACGCGCAAGCGTACAATCTCACAATGGGTTCTAGGACTTCATCTCGATACCGGACAGCCGTCAAAGAACCCCGTTTAAAAGATGTGCAGGTCGGTGAGGTATCCTAATGAAATCCCATTCCCACACCATAATGCTTCCGCCTCGGAATGCGTGATGTTCGGTGATGTGTTGGGACTGACTGCGTGCTCGTTGTTCACACCATATCCTTATACGCTTGTCATCTGGCTGCAGAGCACATCTTGACTCATCAGTAAACATGACAATGCCGCAGTCAGACACATTCCAAATGACATGTTCCCGGTACCACTGTAATCGTGCTCCTCTTTATTGGACGGATAGAGGAACACAAACTAGAGGTACCCGGGCGCACAGTCCACTCATATGTAATCTTTGGCTGCAGATATCGCCTTACCAATGGACGCTGTAAATATAGATGTCGCACGTGCAGATGTCGCTCTGCGATTCCGCTTGGCTACAATAGCAATATATCGATCTTCCGCGGGGGTTATAACCCTTGGGCGACCGGCTACGGGTCTTCGGACAACTGTCTGTGTGGTTTGGAATTGTTTCCATAAACGTGAAATTACAGAATGATGAACGCCGAAGAAAAGAGCAACATCTATGATCGACTGTCCTGCTTCAATGCGCCCCACAGCAGGCCAGCGCTGTGAATCTTCCATTCGTCTTCTGGAAGTCATAAAAACACGTATGTCTTGAAAACAAATTCTACGAAAGTTTTAAACTCCTTCTATCAGCACTTACAATCAACTTCTGTAACCCTTCATAAAGCTGGCATCTTATAAGACTGCCTTTTTTGCATATTTCTTGACATGAAAGCGCGATTGGCTGTTACCTAACATATTTGCATACTTTCATCTACCTTTGCAGCGAATTGCATCCTCTTCAATTCTGATTGGCCTCCGGAAATTAGCATTTTCCTCTCCGTGCTTAACTTTTGGAAGTGAGTGTACATTCATGTTTATCATATATGCTTTGATTCATATGGGTATCATATGATTTTTTTAATTAAGTTGAAAATTATCATCAGGGCTACCTGAAAACGCCATTAATTTGTCAACATTTCTCAGATGAAAACATCTTTATCCTAGTCAAATATTATTTTCTGCAGTAAATTAAAAAAACAAGTAAACTTAGCAGAGATGCATTTTAAGGAAAATTAAAAGTTTGATGATAATATTGTTATGGTTTTTGTATTTATTTAGCTATTTTTAGTAAATTTGTAATTAAAATTGTTTCATATTCCCGTGCAATGCAGCACGAGTGTTATTTGAAGAGAAAGCTACGCCGGCAAATTTAAAATACAGGAGCACGCGCATTTAACAATGTTTATTTGTTAATTTTAATGAATAGATATCTCGAAATTGTACTCTTGCCATCCAGAAAAATCGAGAAAATATGTGAATGTTATCGTGCACTTAAAAAGCTTATAAAAGCTAGAGAAAAACATCTCAGTTCAGTCACTTAGAAAACACAATGAAATATTCCCTATAATTGTTTAGTGTAGCGAATATTTCATTGTGCTCTTTTGACCTCGTGAAAAATCGAGAAAATGCGAGAATATTCTCTTGCATGATTCATAAGCTTATAAAAGCTGGAGGAAAATATCGGAATTCAGTTGTTTACTTACTGCTGTTGTTGACCGTAGCGAATTCGCGGTAGATCGGATTAGCTTTCTCTGTTTGTTGGGTTCTGTAAAACATTTTAGTAATTTAAAATATAACTACTGTGAGATATGGCGATATTGTACTAATATTACTAATATCTCTGAGGAAATTTCAGCATTTTGTTTTTATTCGTTATGATAAGAATAAATTTTATTCACTTTTCATCGGACTTGTGCATCCAATTTGTTACGAACCCGTAAGTACGCAGCAATATATATCTTCTCTAATCTATTGGCATTCTATATTAAATTTCGATTAATTCGTTGTTTTTTATTAATTTACCAGAAAAAATAAATTCTATTAGTTTAACATAAAAGTGAATATTTTCTGCTCCTTAAAATATGTAAGAATTCTGTATTGAAAGTTTTATTGATCCCTTGATGTTTCATCAGTTACTTTCACATGTAACATCATACTGTCTTCTTTATAAAAAATATATAGAAGAAGTCGTCGTAGGTTAGAATAACCTCAATGCATTGTTGCCAAACTGATATAGAAAATTATTTCTGTGAATAACGACTTACAGTTCTCGCTTTGGTTTCTAATATAAGATTATACTGAATTTTATTCAGGTTTGCTAATTTCCTTCCTTCGCCTCTCGTAAGCCCCAGCATGAAAAGAAAAAGAAATTTTGCAATAAAATCTGTTTCAATTATCCTAGAGTAAGTTACGAATTTCTTTCAAAGAATTATCTGCAATTTCTCCTTCACAGGATCACTTCGGGAGGTTTTAGTATCAAATTATAAAATATCTTCCAATTTGATTGCTATTCTAAATGAAAAGTAATAAACGTAGTTTTCAGTGGATGATTTTTAGGCAAACTTTCTCGCACAGCATTTGAAACTTTCTGCATTCACTCTGCTAACATAAAAGTACCGAATGATGTACTCTTTGTCTATGTAAATTTGTAAATTTATTGAAGAAAATTACTTTATAGTATGGAAATAGTAAACAAAGTTTCTATCTCGATGTTTTTCGCTTGGTTTAACCATCAAAACATTTCTGATTTAACAATGTGTTTATTTCGCATAAGTACTGATTTAAGTAAAGCTCAGCTGCTTCGCTGCAGGAAATTCAAAAATGGTGAGCAATATTTTAAACCTCTCATAAAAGCAGCGTAAAACGAAATAATTACTTACCTTCGGTATAATATGCAAATGAGCAAGGAGAATACGATCACGAATATGCACAATACGCTTCCGAAAATTGTCGGGAGGAAGATATTTTCTTCTCTTTGTCTCTTTTCTGCATGGCAAAAAATAATAAAATTGTCGTTAGATAAAATACTGATAACATATGAAAAATCACAGCCATTGTTAAGAAGATGTGGATAACAGCTGTACCAAATTGATATAAGTGTATATCGTAATTGTTATTATACATTGTTTTCTTGTGACAAAAATCTGCCTCAGCCAAAACCCAAAACCCTTTGTCTTTGTTTTAAAGGTGTTTTTACTAAAAGTTCTAATCTCTCATGGATTTTACTTTTAGGGTCCGTTGTGCAAGTGATTCAGTTGGTAGTCGAAGTGCTTAGTAATTAGCAGTGATAAGATATCTCAGGAAATTACAAGGATTACAAATCGGAATGAAGGAAATAAAGGAAGGATTTGTAGTGAAATTTAAAATCTAATAAATAATTATCATCAACCGTTACCCCTTGATTTAATAGTAGTCGTAATATAGGAAGCAGCTGTATTGAAAGTTTAGAAGCTCATAAGAAATATCACTCCCTTATTCTGAAAATTTAAATTATAAAAAAAAATAAACTCTTGAAAATTGGATTCCTTTAAAAAAACGGGAAAAAAATAGAAAAATAGAAAGATTCTTATTTAATAAAAAAGTAGTGCAAAAAATGAAGTCAGCATTTTAATAGGGGATTACAATGAAGTCGAAATAAAGCTAAAAAGAGAAGGTTAAAGCGGCTTTCATATATTAAAACATTTCTTCCTATCACACTTTCAGATACCAGTGTTTGGAAGATATCGTTTTAGTTCTTTAACCACTTATTTTATGATAATCAGCCTTCATGTCCTCCTCATTTCCATTTTCCTTTCTGAATGTAAATTACCAGCTTGCGGAATATTCAAATGAGTCAGAAAATAAGAGATCATATAAAGGAAGATTTTAGAGGGTAGAATTAGAGCGTGTTCTGCCTGCTAAAGACCACGATGCTAAATTGAATTCCTTGAGAGCAGTATTCTGCGGCGTTGCTTTATTTTCGCTATTGAGCTTGCCACGCCAACCTTTAGGTCAGAGCCAACTTAATTGTGTAGCCGTTAGATTAATTTACTCTCACTTAGTCAAGTCAAATTATTTATCTTTGATTTAAGCCATGACTGCTGGCTATATATTTTGTAAGCATGAGTGGTGGTAGTCCGTTAGCTTTGATTTGAGTTAAATAAAGGATCCTTTACTATCACTTAGTCAAGTTAAATTATTTATCTTTGATTTAAGCCATTACTGCTGACTATATATTTTGTAAGCATGAGTGGTGCTAGTTCGTTAGCTTTAATTTGAGTTAAATAAAGGATCTTTTACTATCACTTAGTGAAGTTAAATTATTTATCTTTGATTTAAGCCATGACTGCTGACTATATATTTTGTAAGCATGAGTGGTGCTAGTCCGTTAGCTTTGATTTGAGTTAAATAAAGGATCCTTTATACTCTCTAAGTGACTTTAACGTTTCGCATATTTTGATGCTTGTAAAGAAAACAAAACATATGTATTAACTGACTGAGCCTGACAAAAGAAACAGACATTATTATCAATAAATATAAATGCTAATTTAAAGGTAATATCATCAAACTCAAATGAGGCATATAACTACGTAAAATCACGTCTAATTCTAGAGTTTTATAGTTATAAACTTCTTTTATATCTTTAAATTAGCTAAAAGAAATAAATCCTTTTTTTTTCTATCGTGAATAAAAGCATTCTCTGGAAACACATTTTTGCGTAGATTTTGTAATTACGCTCAGGGCGAAAAATTTATCACTTTTAGTAACAAGAAAACATGAAAAGAAAGATGCCTATCAGAAAGAAAACATCAATAAAAGTCTCGTAATTTCATTCATCATGATAGATATGATGAATAGAAGAAAGCTATATTTTCTCGGGAAACGTAAAAAACAAACAAACAAAGTCACCAAGTTCCATTTAGCATTACAAGCGTGAACACTAAAAACAAAAATGATTCTTAAATTTGTATTCCAAGTGCGTAAGGCAAGTTCATAAGTCAGCATTGTTTAAACCACTTCTTTGTTGGGTAGATTTTAGAGCGATAGATGCTCAAAATGCACTTCAATGACTTTTAAAATGCCAATAATACATGGCACTCATAGAATTAGTCGTATACAATGCGAAGATTCTCAGATTTTTCAAAAAGGCGGTAACTAATATGCAATGATCGACAAAATAAACTTATTCCGTAATTGAAATAGAGAAAAAGAAACACATAATATCAAATTTAGACTCTGATAATCAAAAGAAATATTTCAAAGGGTAACTTAAATTATTTTTTGAGTTTTAAAAAGGAAATAACATCAATGGAAAATTTAAAATTAGAAAAGAAACAATTTTGACGTCAACTTATTCTTTCAAAATTTTAAAATACTACTATAATATGATAATATAATATTTTAGGTAGTGAGGAAATTACATCTAGCATTAACATTATTTTCAGAATTCTGAAATAAGATCAGAAAATCCTTTGAAAGACCTTGAAACTAATAAATGAAAGGAAAATCTTTATTTCTAGAGATTTCGGAAAACTATTAATTATTTTTTGTTCAAAAATAATGATGCATTTTTTCGTTAATTGAAATAAAAACATTAGAATTTTTCTAAGGAATAACAACAAAGGATAATTTTGTTTTTCCAAAATAACATGCATCTTCTGGAGATTAAGTGCAAAATAAATTCATTTATTTGGTTGCATTAATTAAATCAATTAGATTACAAAGTTCTTTCTCTTTATTGAGCACTGTAGAGCTCCTTTTTCTCTATTTACTCCTTCCTTTATCTATAAATGTTTCTTCCTCATTTCACGGTGCTATTTGATTTTGCTCAATAAATCTAATTTCGACACCAATCAATACAAAACAAAAGAATAATGGCTGTGCACTTGATTTTTTTGTTTAAATTTGAGCAATTTAATAGTGTTTATATATTCTCATTTACGTTATTGAATCATATACTATAATAAACAAAATAACTCTATTGCTCCTATTAGTCCACGATTTTTTTCCCTTTTAAAATTTTCTGTGGACAGTTTTGATTTATGTTGATGGTTTTTCATAATAAATTCTCCATCATTTCGCGGATAATCGGGAGTTGCTGGAACTTTAGAGCTTTGATAATTCAAACAGCAACTATGACAATTTGAGTTTTAAGGGTTTTTATTTCTTTTTTTAAATTAAAATTTTTTTAATGTTTTCGAATTTCAGCATAGCAGTAAGTATTCATCTTAGTTATAAAGACTTAATAATGAGCAAGCAGTCATAAGATTCTGAAGAAATTACAAAGATTGCAAATCAGAATGAAGGAAATAAGGAAGTATTTGTAGTGCAATTTTAGAAACTAATAAATAATTATCATTAGTCCTTACCCCTTGATTTAATAGAAGTCGTAATCTAAGAAGTAGCTGTATTGAAAGTTTAGAAACTAATAAAAAATATCATTCTTTAATTCTTTACCTGACCGAAAGCGTAAGGGACAGCTCAAGAAATCAAAAAATAAATAAATGAAATAAAACTAAAATAAAAGGAATCTGTTGCGTGATTTCTTTTAGTGAAAATATGTGAAATTTAAAAACAGATTTACAAAATAACTATTCAGAATGTTCCGGTATGTAAGTTGTTCCTTATAATATCACAAATCTTTTATGCCTGTTTCACGGGAAGGAAAGAATTTGGAATTATGTCTTACGACATTGAATTTCAAGGTCTATGACACAAGATGCTTAATTTTAGCTTTTCTAGGAAAGGTAATCAGAAATGATTGCATCCATCAATACGCTTCTAAAGTAAAATGTGCCTTATACAAATGTACTTTCGGAAGCTCAATATGTATAGCTAAATTCATAAATTTTGTATACCCGGTTATTCCAAAATTTTAATGTGATAGTTCAGTTAATTCAGCTTACGCCAAAACGATACCTTTTTAATCAATTCTTATATATGATACCTTTTATTAATAATATGGTTTCCGTATGGGAACCATACAAAATTTTTGTTTTCATATAATTATACTCAAATTTATCATGCGTCCAAAACTTTCGTATTCTGAAGGCCAGTTTCGTTTGAACTATTTCTTATCCGAATATCATACCTAAGATCAAACACCCAAAAGTTATTTATCGTGCATTTTTCAACAGGAGAATCTACGAGAAGTACAATAAACTATGAAAAACAATGACGAAGTCTTACTTTTTTCGCAGCGGTCGCCAGTGAAATCGTTTCTGCACAGACATTTTGCTTTTTGTCCTTCTGCCCTACAGTCACCGCCATTCATGCAAGGATTTACAGTGCAAGGATCTAAAAAAAATTCACTCATATTCAATCATTAGTGGTATGTAAATTCTATGAGCACAGAAGTACTCCTATGCTTAAATATTTCGGAAAAAAAAATCATGCCAAGGGCTTCAGTTTTCCAATAACTGACTTTGTTTTTTAGTGGGCGATAATGTGCCTTGTATGTAGAAACAATATATAAGGTGATATATCTCGGGATATTTATGTGAGTCAACGTTTTCAAAGAATTCACATTATCAGAAGCTACTCGATGATCAGTCTATAAAAATATCAAAAGCGATGGTTTATTAACGCTTTCAGGAAAAGCTGAAGATCTTGAGCAAATTTTACTTTGAAATAACTTAGAATATTTTTACATTTCCAAACCGAATTTTCCTGTAAGTATTTTCGAAGAACGTTTTGAGCATAGGAGTATAAATTTAAAAAATGTTAACGCTATAAATGGCACTTATAAATAACACTGTAGCTAATGTATTAAACTTCTGAATTTCTCAATATACATGACTTACTACCCAGATTATAATAAAATAAAACTAGTTTTGGTACTTACGCATTGTCCCGTCGATCGTAAACCTGCCGCTAAGCAGCGCAATTTTGCGCCAATTATGGCTAAACATGACGTAATTACACACTCATAACATCTGTGATTTCATTTGATGTAACCCGATAGGTTCTCGATAAGCCATCTTTAGCTTTTATGAACAATAATTTATTTACTTGTTACTGCTGTATTTTTATCCTTGAATTGAAAAAATGATTAATATTTGCGATATACTTCTACGGAACAGCAAGCAGTGGATTATTTTTCAATGACATGGATCCTACCACCAAAATAAGTATGTATTAATGGACACTAAATGGTCAGCTGACTATGACTAGCAAAACGATACACTAGACAATTGACTAACTACTCTTCTATGCGAACTCAGGTCGCCAAATGAGGCGACAAATTTCTCGCCAAACATTTTTGGGGAGAAACTCCACGATGTCATATTACAATCTAAATTTTTTGTCACCATTTCGAACTTTAAGCATAAAATGTCTACAAAAACGCGGTTTTCGCTCATGCAAAAACCACGTTTTAAACACATAATTTAAGCTAAAAATCCCCCCCCCCCAAATGAGATTGCAAAAACGTAAAGTTTCTAACCAAAAATATTTGACATGAATCCATGTATGCAGCGATATGTTTAACTTAAAAAAACATCTACGAATTGCACAATCTAGGCAACGAACGAATCTACGAACTACGCACACTTCGCTTTAATAAATTTTACGCACACTTCGCTTTAATTTAATAATAAACATAACAGCAATAAATTTCAAAGAATACCATGTACACAGCATCCTGTTTAAACTTTAAAAAAAATCTAGAATTGCACAATCATTGCGCACAAATCAACAAAATAAACTAAAATAACTAAAATTACAAACAATTAAAAAACAACAATAACAACAGAAATTCATAGTAAAAAAAACAATGAACATAACATTCTACAAAATAAAATGCACTTATCATAATACATTAGTTAATAAAATTTCACTAGTCACACAATGTCTCTGAACAAAAGTGCCACAATTTTGCTATATCACATCTCTTTCTGCGATTCAAAATTTAGAAAGTAACGATAAGAATTTCCTCCAAAGTTAACTTACTACACGAAAACCATGATCCAAATCTTAAACTCCGCTGACAGCCACATACTTTACCAGCAAGCATTTGACTGCAAATCCAACACAAGAACTATCAGAAACGCCCTTTTTTGCCGAGTTCTCATAGCAGCTCCGCATTAAGGACTCTGTTTTAAAAGTCCCACAGAAATTCCAAAAATGCACTTCGATCCTCATAAACACACCCGTGAATAAAAGACTCGTTAACATCTCCAACACGGTAGCTTTTAATACTAAATTTACTTTCCACACAATCTAAAACATGCGACTGAAATCTTGCCACCACGTCTCTCATTGCACCATAGGCCATTTCAAAACACGCACGACACGAACCAATGAACAATTAAACCACTGCAGCAAAAGAGTTAAGTTTCAATGTCAAAAGGGTTGCCATACAAACAGCATCGTCCTCAAAACCCACTACACAGCACCGCAACCGTGCCAAAAACCAGCGCAGAACATATATCGCCACATTTGGTGATCTTACGGCGAATATAAGTGTAGATCCAAAATTAATTACCTTCGGAATTTTGTATTCATATCTTTCTAAACAGAGCTTAAACTAGGAGGGCCTAATAAAATAGCAGAAATCGGAGAAAGCATTTTTACGAAGACCAAAAACGAAGCGGATCGAATATTGATTCCGTAAAACAGAGAGGTGTCAGTTCCTTTAGAATTCCGAAGGAACGGTTGGTGCAACTTTGACGGAAACACGAATTCGCATATTTCTATGGTAACCAACTTTCACGGTCGACAGTATAACACATATTGACTCTAGTTTATATGTACTGATTCTAATGACAGCAGATACAGCTCAGTTTTAAAAACAGCTTTGAAATTTAAAAAGTAATTGCATTTAATTACTCATTCTCTTTCATGTTTCGGAATCTATTTTACAAGGGCATTTTAGGATAATACATATGCCTCAAAAAGCAGCTGGTAAAAGCCAGAAAAGACCGGCACTTCATTTTTAGCAATGAAAAAGACTTAGCCAACGACCACTGCACGTTCTTCGACATCATTTCACTACATGATGGGTTAATCTGTGATAAGCTTTCATTGTATTTAGTGGCTTTAGATCACCGAATATAATTCCATCTAAAGTTTTTCCGTGATAGCTTCTTAGAAAGTCTTCCACGAAGGCATCCCTACCCTTAGGCAGATAATCCTAGTGTGCTTTCCCATAATAAAATAAACAGAAATGTCTTAAATAGCAGATGAAGGCTATTCTCGTGAATAAGCCTTCATCTGCTATTTAAGACTTTTCTGTTTATTTTGAATGAACAGATTTATGAATAAACAGGAACATTTATATCACAGAATTTGTGTCCCTGTTAGTTTATAAATATGAGTTTACAAATTATTAAAGCCCGGAATAAGATAAAACATCTTTCGGGCAATGAATTGCTTTGGGTTTGAAGGTTTAAGTTGAAATACATCAGCAATATGAGAAATCTTTTTTAAGTTTTAATAGCTGGAAGAATATAACATAACTTGTAATTTACAATAAGTGTAAAAGAATTTATTTTATTAATATTCATGCTTAGCAACATCTACTTAGAATATAAATGTTATTGATATTTATTACATATCTGAGGAAGAGTGCTCAGCACTGCAATTTCGAAGTAATTTCCGTACATGAGTATTTTCGTGCGACAGAAATATGTTAACTAACCAAACTTAAAATACTCACAATGTATACTCACGCTGTCGGGATTTGCATGAACTCTCTTTGGACATTGCATGTGCACATATTTTAATGTGTGACAATCGCATGCATACATACATTGTGTTATGTAATATTGTTCCTTAATTTCAATTTATCAGTTATTTACTGCTTCTTAACTCAGTTTTTTCTTATAATTGAATTTTATTAATTTGATTTTATTTGTTCAGTTTAAAGTAGGTGTTGACAGTTAATTTTTTGCAAGCTGTAATTGTTAACTTTAAATTTAAGTTCGTAGTGTTAATCTTTTTATCCTTTAAAATAAAGTTTGATTTTTACCTTTTAATTTTATTTTGGTCTAAAAACTTAAAATTAGTTATCTGGTTTTATTTTTACTGTTTGTTACACTAGTTTGGTGCATAAATTTAATTAGTTTTTGTTTAATGCTTACCCCTCTTTCTGGTAAATTTTCCGAATCCATATTTTCTGACTCTGGTGGTAATGTCGACTAAGGTGTTGAAGAAAAGTAATTTTTAGAAATGATTACTGGAACAGTATTCTAAATTTCAGCTATACACCTTATTAGAAATATTAATTAAGGATTTAATCAGCTTGTGTGTTTGCTAGTATTTATTTCAATAAGCAAAGTTAATAGTTTATAATATATTCAGTTTAAATAGTTAGTCAACTATTTAAACTGAATGTAGTCAAGTTTTTGAAAACTCAAAATAGGTATCTTGGGTTTGATTCTGTGTTAAAGAGACTAGTGTTTCAAGTATTTCTGGAGTATTATCTCAATTTAAAAATAGAAATTATAAATTTAACTAATTGAAATTTATAGACTTTTGTACCGAAAATTTGTGCCTTCTAGCATAAATGTATTTTTTAGCCTAGCTTAATTGCTTGAGAATTTATTCGCAATTAAACATATATTTTAACAGAAATGCTGAAGATTTTCTGATTTCGAATTTTCCAATTAGAAGCGCAGTTTTTAAGCTTCCACAGTTGATTTCTGACATGTGATGTATGGTTTTCCCACCCATTTCCGGGAGGTGGAATCTTCCATTCAATTATTATAACAATCTTAAAGCCAGGAAAAAAAATCCATGTTAAGCAGACAACTACCCCCCTATTAGTATTTTACCGGCTATAGGGAAAGTCTTTGAAACAGCGCTAAACCGAAGAATCACAAATCACTTAGAACGTCTGGACTTGATCGGCCCGGCCCAGTTCTGATTCAGGAAGCATCATAGTACAACACATCAAGTGCTAAACTTAGTAGAATATACATCGAAAGCATTTTTTCTCAAAACAGGAGTGGCCGCGTGCTTCTTAGACCTGGATACGACGGTTTAATTATAAATTGAATAACTTCATGTTTCCATTCAGTTTTGTAAAATTAATTGTCATACCTTAAAAAGGAGGACACTTCAAGTGCGAGTTGGAGACAATGTCTCTGAAGAAGATAATAGAAAGTAGCGTCCCTCAAGGATCAGTTATCGCACCAAAATTATTTAATATTTTTATAAATGACCTTTCAAATCCACTAAATGCAAAAACATTAAATTATGCAGACGATACAGTAATTCTTTCACGATCCAGAAACCCGCAACTAGCTCTAGATCAGCGGTTGTGAACCCTTAGAACTTCACAGACCACTACATAT